AAAAAAAAAAATAAAATAAAAAAAAAAGACATGGACTAGAAAAAATATGTTCAACATGTATGGTAAAAGGTTATATTTCTAATATAAAAAGAACCCATATGAACCAATAAGATAAAAATAATAGCCCAATAGGAGATTGAGTATAGGTAACACATACAGGAGGAAATATAAGGGACTGATAAACACTTAAAAATGTGCTTCATTAACAGGTCTAGAAATGAATATTAAACAAGATAACTTTTTAAAGCTTAAAATGTTCATATGCCTTGTGTCCTATTTCTGGAAATGTATGCTACAGAAATACAAGCCAGTTTATAGGGATATATTTGTAAGAATATGGGATTTACTATAAATTGTTAGTATTACCAGAAAGAAAGGGATACCTGAATTCTATCTCAAGGGGAATGAATAGTTGACTGAATTATAGTACAGTTTTACTGTGGAATATTGTGGTGCTATTAAAGGCCTTGAGTTGCATATTCTTAGCTGGGTAAACAGACTGGACATACTGAGAGAAAAGCTTTCTCAATTAAAAAGCACAGGTAAAAACTCCTGTTATGTGTATGGTGTTTGTACAAGCCTAAACAAAGGTATACAAAGATCCATACTACATTTTTATTTATTTATTTATTTATTTTTTGAGACAGGGTCTCTCACTGTCACCCGGGCTGGATTTCAGCTAACTGCAACCTCCATCCGCCAGGCTCAAGTGGGTCCTCCCACCTGAGCCTGTTTAGTAGCTAGGACTACAGGTGCCTGCCACCACACCTGGATAATGTGTGTATTTGTTGTAGAGACAGGGTTTTCCCATGTTGCCCAAGCTGGTCTCGAACTCCTGGGCTCAAGCAGTCAGCCTGCCTCAGCCTCCCATAGTGCTAGGAACCACTGTGTGTGGCCCACACCAAACTTTTAACAAGATTACCCAACAGGGGCGGGATTACAAGGAAATACCATTAAAATCTTATTTATATACCTCTGTGTTATTACCATAAGTTTGGTAATAACAAACTTGGCTCACTGCAACCTCTGCCTCCTGACCTCAGGTGATCTGCCCACCGCAGCTTCCCAAGTAGCTGGGATTACAGGTGCGTGCTACCACACCTGGCAAATTTTTTGTATTTTTTAGTAGAGACAGGGTTTCACCATGTTGAACAGGGTGGTCTTGAACTCCTGACCTCAGGCAATCTTCCCACCTCGGCCTCCCAAAGTGCTAGGATTACAGGTGTGAGCCATTGTACCTGGCCGTTACTTTTGTTTTTTAAAATATTATCATTATTTTTAAAAATCAGGTTGGATATCCCTATTCTGAAAGTCTGAAACTCAGAATGCTCCAAAATCTAAAACTTTGAGTGCCAACATGATGCTCAAAGGAAATACTCACTGAGCATTTTGGATTTGGTGTTTCTGAATTAGGGATGCTCAAATAGTTATGCAAATAAGTAATGGAGATATTACAAAAATGTCTAAAACCTGAAGCGCTTCTTATCCTAAACATTTTAGATAAGGGTTCCTCAACCTGTACCATGAGAGCCAGTGATGTAGTGGAAAGAACCTGGCACAAGGAGATAAGACATTTTGCTTACTTTGATTTTTACTCCCATTTCTGTCACTGACTCTAGTAGCTTGCTGTCTGGGCAAGTCCTTTAGCTTCTCTGGGTTACCAGTTCTTTATCTCTATATCAAGAGTTAACATTCAGTCACTAAAGTACTTTCCAACACAGAAAAATGTTTTTTTGTTTGTTTGTTTTGCATAATAGCACTCATTACTTGCTTATTAAAATAATAAGTTTTTTAGTTTTTGAACTAAAAACTAATGAGTCAATAAACCCAAAAGATTCTTTGGAGGTACATTTCCTGCATCTCTCTGAACAGGCAACAGAAGGGGCTCCTCTTTGGTTAGAGAACTTGCTTATTGCCCTGACCTTGAGGGATTAAACTATGAATCTGTATACCTTCATAGTTTTTAGGTTATTTTTTAGAAGTTCTAGAAGGGAAATGCTGAAGCAATTTTCAATTAGATTCTTAGCATCGCCTTGTCAGTGCCTTAGAAGGTAGATTGTTCTTCTATCATGTCTTCTACCCATATCTATGCATATTGGCTGCTAAACCAGCTACCAGAATAATGACTCTTCTGCATACAGCAGAAGAAAATTAAATTGACAGCCAAGTTACAATAGCCTGCCAAATTTTAGTTATTAACCTTACCCATTACTGTCTCAAAGAAGATGTAATGGAAATTCCTTTTCTAATTTGTGGCTGTCTCCATTTTTGAACTAAAGATCAATGCAAATGGAAATGTAAGTCTCTGAACCCTGTTATTTTAGCAGTCCTGCATTAGCTCTATTTCTCTAATAGTGTTTCACAGCACACACGCGCCCCTTCCCCTCCGGCTAAAAGTAATGAGCATGCCACTGCCAGGTTCTTCAGTTTTAGAAATGTGCTTTTCTTGTTAGATGTCTTAAATAAGCTTTTCTCATTAAAAAGATAAAAACCTCACTTAACAAGTACTCCATCATTGGCAGAGAACAAACAGGCTTCTTCTGGTTGACCTTTTCACTAGCTCTTTTTTATTTGAGTCAGATTGTTTCAGTATTGGTCCCCAACTTAGGGTTCAAAGACGTTGAAACCTTATGAATTCTCCCAAGGCAGAAAGACTTTCTGGGCACAAAATAGTGGAAGAAATCACAAAGGATAAAGTCAATATTGACCAAATTAAAAATCACATATAAAATTATGGCAAATTAGGAACATAGGTTTGGAACAACACTTTAAAGGGTTAAAGGGTTGGCCCAGTGCGGTGGCTCATGCCTGTAATCCCACCACTTTGGGAGTTGAGGAGGGTGGATCACCTGAGGTTGGGAGTTTGAAACCAGCCTGACCAACATGGAGAAACCCCGTCTCTATGAAAAATACAAAATTAATCGAGTGTGGTGGCACATGCCTGTAATCCCAGCTACTTGGGAGGCTAAGGCAGGAAAATCACTTGAACCCAGGAGGCAGAGTTTGCAGTGAGCTGAGATGGTGCCATTGCACTCCAGCCTGGGCAACAAGAGCGAAACTCCATCTCAAAAATAAAGTAAATTAAAATAAAGGGTTAAAATCATTTGTGTGTAAAGAGCTCATAATAATGCATGAGACAGGGGCAAGAGCAGTGGAGAGGTTGAAGTGGGTGGACCTCTTGAGCTCAAGAATTAACTGCCTGGCCAACATGGTGAAACCCTGTCTCTACTAAAATACAAAAATTAGCCGGAGTTGGTGACTCATGCCTGTAATCCTAGCTACCGGGAAGGTTGAAGCAGGAGAATCATTTGAATGCAAGAGGTGGAGGTTGCAGTGAGCCGAGATCACACCACTGCACTCTAGCCTGGGTCACAGAGTCAGACTCCATCTCACACACAGAAAAAAAAAAAAAAAAAGAAAATAAATTAGTGGTTGCAAGTACTTGGGAGGCTGAAATGGGAGGGTGGGAGGATGTTTGAGCTCCGGAGATCGAGGCTGAGGCTGCAGTCAGCCATGATTGTACCACTGCACTGCAGCCTGGGCAACAGAGCAAGACTTTCTTTCTTAAAAAAAACAAAAAAAAAACAAAAGAAAACAAGAATACATGAGAGAAACAATAATGATTGGAGTGTACAGTTCACAGAAGGGCAAGTAAAGCTGGCTACTAAATATAAGAGAGAGTTCAACCTAATTAATAATAAGGTCTTGATCTCCTGGGTTCAGTCGCCTTCCAAAGTGCTAGTGTTACAGGTGTAAGCCACCATGCCTGGCCCCAAATTTTTTTTTCTAATTCACGTTTATTACTCAGCATTCTTCCCATTTCTTTAAGAAAACAATCAGGAAAATTTCATATTCAGGTTATTTATCACAAGAGTTATTTATGATTTTTTATAACCCAAAATTATGAACCCTGAAATGCCTAAGAATATTATAACCATGTACTAAAAGAGTTATTCATATATTTGGAAAATGAAATAAAAACATCAAGATACAATATAATGTAGTCCCATTTGTGTTTTATAAATATGTAGAAGCGAGGCTGGAAGGAAATTATGTTACATTTTGGTGTGTTTTTGTATTGTGGAACTATGAGTAACTTTTTTTTCATAATACTTGTATTTTCCAAGTTTTTTAGCAGTAAAAATGTATATGTTTTATAATCACAAAGAAAATACTTTTTAAGTCTTTTTAACAGGGAGAAGTAATATGTGAGTGGGGATGGTAATTATACGATCCTTTAGTAATTTTTAAATTTTCTAAAAGAAAATCATTTTTGTGCTAGAAAAAGCTGAACAGGCTAAGATTTGAGTAAAATTATATCCATTCATTATGAAACACTGGTACTCATAGTTATCAAAAGCTCTGTTGGCAGTGGGAAGTTAATTACTTAAACTCACTTTGGTAGACAGTCTGTCAAAACACAGAATCTGTCAGGGGAAAATAATGAAGAGAGTCCTTCACAGCAAAGAGGCTTGGGAATCAGTTATCAAAGGTTCCCAGCCATTTAGAGCCATAAAACCCTTGAGCGGCTGGTTTATGTGGCTCATGTCTATAATCTTAGCACTTTGGGAGGCCAAAGTAGGAGCATTGCTTGAGTTCAGGAGTTAGGGACCAGCCTGAGCAGCATAGTGAGACCTTGACTCTGGAAAAAGTGTTTTTTAAAAAAGCTGGGTTTGGTGGCACACACCACAGTCCTAGCCACTTGGGAGGCTGAGGTAGGAGGATTGCTTGAGCCTGGGAGGTCGATGCTGCAGTGAGCCGAGATTGTGCCTGGGTGACAGAGGAAGGCCCTGTCTTTTAATTAAAAAAAAAGATTCTCTGCATTCGCCACAGGTGTGAGGTTGGGTGCAGGTGGCTGTCTGACAGCCTCGAGGCATCGACGGACGGACGGAATGACTGACAATGCCATACTCCCACAGGCCTCCCATCTACCGCACAGCAGGCTGCCACTGCCACCACCACCAATCCCAAGTCTGATGGCATTCTGGCTATGACTTTCAAGATTGTTCTCCTTTTGCAGCACCTATGGTTAAAGTTCCTATAGGGCTATGTTTTCGCTTTAAATTACTTCTTTTCCAAAGTCTGAAGTTAATGTCCCCTGAAGACAGCATCTTTTATGAGACCATTGTCGCAGTGGTTGGGCTTCATGTGGTGCTTCATAGTGTGGAAGGAGGGCTTGCCCCAATGGTGGGAAAACAAAAATGAATAAAGCACTCCTTCAGAGCTGTAAGTGTGGGGGGGTTAGGGAAATACCTAAAGGGTTTTTTGTTTTTCTTGTTCATATTAAATGTACTTTTTATAATTATTATTATTATTATTAAAAAGGAATAGTGGATGGTGAGGGAGTTAAGTATTTACTGCAGCTAAGACTTCTGTAAAAATGGGGGTTGGGGGAGGGTTGACATTTTCCGACCACCTGTTAGTGCTAAGTGCTTTTTATTAAGGACAGAATATTTTTGACTGAGGATCGTGTTTGGCTGATATAAATATTAATGCCAAAATAGGAAGCAAGGATGAAAGTGATACTGTAAGTAGTCGAATTATTTCATATGAAAATGCGTCATGACATAATTTTTATGGCTTGGCTCAAGCAACAATTTTCAGAGTGCACCTGCATTGATGCTGCTCACAGAGATGTGGATGGGCTGTTTCTAACTCTGCCTACTATGTGGCCTGTTGTGATGATGAAGTTGATAAAGTAGACCAGTATCAACGACTAAGTCTAGAAGACCTGGAAAAATTGAAACGGGTCCTGAACCCCTCTTTTTGGTAAGCCAGAGTTCTGCATGCCACTACACTACAGATAAAAAGAAGCAAATGGCTATTTCCGCACCCTGCGAGCTGTAATGCGCGGTCCTGAAGAGGATGGAAAATATCCCCTTCAGTGCATTGCAGAGATGCTACAGATCACCATCCAAGCCATAGAACTGGAGGTACCCATAATCAGGAAGAAACTTGAGAGGAAGAGCAGTAAACCTCACGAAGACATCATTGGTATCAGATCTCAAAACCAAGGGTCTTTGGCCCAGGGAAAGAATTTTTTAATGAGCAAACTTTCATCTCTAAATCAAAAAGTGAAACAGACCAAATCCAATATAAATATTGGCAACCTTGGAAAGCTAGGAAACTTTACCAAACCTGAAACAAAAGTTAACTTTCTAAAACCAAACTTAAAAGTAAATCTTTGGAGATCAGATAGTAGTCTTAAAACAATGGAAAACACAGGAGTGTTGGGTAAGGTTCAGGCAGAGTCTGATGGGGACATGTCTTCGGATAATGACTCATACCACCCTATGAATTCCTTACAGATTCTAAGTCTGATGAAGACAGGCAGCTAGCTAATTCATTAGAGAGTGCAGGGCCAATAGATTACATTCTTCCTAGTTGTGGTATTATTGCTTCCGCACCTCAGTTAGGCAGTTGGTCTCACTCTCTTAGCAGCACTGATGGTAGCAGTCATGCCCCTTCAGAGGTTACTGTTGTCATGGGAGTGGGCTTGGAAAAGGCCAGGAGTCTCATTTGAAGAAAAGTCCTTCTGCAACTTTTCAAAATACACATATTGACTGGCTTTGCCAAGCCTATGGATATTTACTGCCACAGATTTGTGCAAGATGCACAAAACAAAGTGACCTACCTATTAGACACTAGGTCTGTGTCTCAGCAGGCTAGTCAGGAAAGAAATCAAATGACCAAGTTTCCAACGAAGAAACCCAATCAGAATCAACAGAGCAGACACCTTCTCAACTGTCTCAATTAGATGTGTCTCTTTCTGCAACAGGCCCACAGTTTTAGTTAAGCCAGTGCATTCAGTTGCATTTCAAAAGACCCTTAGTTCCGCTTCCAGCATGCTTGAACTTGAGACAGGGCTTCATGTAACTCCTCCTTCAGAGAGCAGTAGCAGCAGAGCAGTCTCTCCCTTTGCAAAGATTTGAAGTTCCATGGTCGCGGTTACTAGTATTACCCAAGCTGGACTAACCCGTGGGTTAAACTTCGCAGTGGCAAAAGTTCAGAAGAGTCCTGCAGAACCTGAAGTGATTTATGAAGATGAAGTCCAGCAAAATGAACTTAAAAGTATGTTTATACGATGCCAGACACAGATAATTCAGATTTAGCTTTTAGCCATAAGAATTCTTCCATGACTTTTATTTTAAAATATGAGAAGATGTTTTTACCTCTTGGGGTATTTTAATTGTACTGTCTGAATCCAGGGCCCACAAATTCTGTTTATTCAAATGGTTTTAAGAGGAGTCTGAACCTGAGTAGATTTCCCAATTTTAGAGTCAGGACTATAGAAGTGCATCATCCTCAAATGTGTAGACCTGAATAGCTTATACACTACAGAGCGCTTTGCTTATCTGAAAGTAATTCAGCAACAGGTCACTTTGGGATATAACCTGAACTTTTTTTTGTAGTGGGGTGGGTAGAATACATGAAGTAGACACAAGGGCTGGACATGCAGATACTTAGGGGATTAGCATTTTCCATAATTTGTTCTATTTGTTCATTCCTGTGTGTTACCTCTACAAAATAAAGTATACATTTAGTTTTTAGTGACTTTAACATGTTACTGAAGCATTTAAATATAAAGCTATTTTAGTTTTGATGGCTTAACTATTCCCTGAGGAGTTGAGGGTCATTGATACTAAAGTCAAAAAGCAAATTCTCATTTGATCCTAATTTTCCCCGTCTTCTGCTTGAACACGTTAAAAATTTTCTTCTGCCTATCCCATGTAAACCTAGGAGCATTAAGTCTTGTCAGTCACATAGTAAACCTGATACATCAGATGTGAATACCAGCACCTATTAAATTTCATTTTGCTGTTTTCAGGAATGTAAGAACACATATATTGGCTACTGGAAGTTCTAGAAGGGAGTCAGGTTTTAATTTATTCTAGGAGGGGCATCCTCGACCCCTTAATAGATGATCCACAACTTCAAAATTTAGTCTGGGCCAAGTGCAGTGGCTCACCCCTATAATCCTACCACCTTGGGAGGCCAGGAGTTTGAGACCAGCCTGGGAAACATCTGTCTCTACAAAAAAATACAAAAATGAGCCGGGTGTAGTGGTGGACACCTGTGGTCCTAGCTACGCAAGAGGATTGCTTGAGCCCATGAGCTTGAGGCTGCAGTGAGCTGTGATTGTGCCACTGCCCTCCAGCCTGGGGGACAGATCGAGACCCTATCTCAAAAAAAATTCAGGGCCGGGTGCGGTGGCTCAAGCCTGTAATCCCAGCACTTTGGGAGGCCGAGGCGGGTGGATCACGAGGTCAAGAGATCGAGACCATCCTGGTCAACATGGTGAAACCCCGTCTCTACTAAAAAT